CCAAATACGAGCGGCTGTTGCGGAGCGTAGCATACGTTTACCGCTTCCAAGAGAACAGTTCGCGACGAGCCAGAAGTACACAGCACGGAGCGGCGGAAGAGTTAAGCAGTGAAGAATTGCAGAAAGCAGAGCGGAGCCTGTGGAGACTTGCGCAATCGGAATGCTTTCCAGACGAAGTAGCTACTCTGAAAGGGAACGTACAATTGAAGCAAGAACAGCAGAAGGCGTTGGATAGAAGCAGTTGTATAGCAAAGCTATCTCCTCGACTCGACGAGCACGGAGTTCTACGCGTAGATAGCCGCATCGCGGCTGCCGATTTTGTAGCGTACGATACCAGATACCCTATCATTCTGCCGCGAGGACATCGGATTACAAACCTATTGCTAGATTGGTTTCACCGCAAATTTCGCCACGCTAACAATGAGACGATTGTAAATGAGGTACGTCAGCGTTTCAACATTGCAAAGCTGAGAACACAAGTACGGTCTGCAGCACTCCGATGTCAGTGGTGTCGCGTGTATAAAGCGAAACTAGCAACACCAAAGATGGGTCAACTACCTCGGGTTCGGATTACACCATTTCTACGGCCGTTCACATTTGTAGGGATAGATTATTTTGGACCCTACTTCGTGAAGGTAGGGCGAAGCTCCGTCAAGCGCTGGGTGGCGATTTTCACGTGTCTAACCGTTCGAGCAATACACCTGGAGCTGGTCTTCAGCCTAACAACTGATGCGTGTAAGAAGGCGATTCGACGATTCATCGCGCGAAGAGGAGCACCACAAGAGGTGTATACGGACAATGGAACGAACTTCTGCGGCGCTAGCAGGGAGCTGGCAACAGAGCTGCGGGAAATCAACGTAACGATGAGTAGCTGCTTTACGGATGCCAACACTAAGTGGTATTTCAATCCACCCTCTGCGCCCCACATGGGTGGGTGCTGGGAGCGCATGGTGCGGTCCGTGAAGACTGCACTGGGATCATTGCCAACGTCACGGAAGCTGGACGACGAGTCTTTCATAACCCTCTTAGCCGAAGTAGAGCATATGGTGAACTCACGGCCATTAACGTTCGTGCCACTAGACAACGAAGAGCAGGAGTCGTTGACTCCGAACCACTTTCTTATGCTGAGTTCGAGTGGAGTTCGACAGCTGGTCAAAGCTCCCGTGGACCAAAGGAAAGCTGTATTGGGAAGCTGGGCGCTGCTGCAGCACATGCTTGACGAGTTTTGGCGTCGTTGGATCTTCGAATACTTACCAATCATCTCTCGGCGAACTAAATGGTTCCAAGACGTCACACCGATCAACGAGAAAGCACTAGTAATGATAGCAGACGAAGGGGTCCGAAACCGGTGGCTACGGGGTCGCGTGATTCGCACCTATCCAGGCAAAGATGGAGTAGTGCGCAGCGCAGCTGTGGAGACATCTAGTGGAGTTTTGAGAAGACCAGTTTGTAAACTCGCTGTTCTCGAAGTTCGTGGAGATGCTGAAGTAGAAGCAGAGACTAGCATAGATGGTGACGTCGAAGCAGTGTTCGAGCGACACGAGGGGGAGAATGTTCCGACGAGTGGATCCATCTAACGACCCCTCGTACAATTTGGATGTTGTGGAAGATGAATCGGGAGACCATGGATCGTTTTGGTGAAATGTCAGAGAGATAAGAAATAATGATTTGTCATTGTATAGTGTTTTGAAGCAGAAGTAAAAAGTGAATTAAAATTTATATTTTCTCTTAATTAGTTAGTAACAATTAGATTTAATTACAGGTATTTGCTTAACATAATGATGAATTTGAATTTTGCTATTGAAGTTGTGAATTAATACTAAGTACGAGACAGATTGTAAGTAGATATGATGAAACCAAAATAACCTAAAACTAACTAAATAATAAACATTGCAGCTTTGAGCTATCGCACTACAAAAAAAGGACGATTTGCTTCAAAGAGCTCGGAAAAGAAAGTTATCGCAACACCATGCATTAGCTATTCATCATGGCTCATTTTCTCGGAAATCATTGACCCGATTTGGAAAAATTTTAACGTCAAACTATTGGTATTGTGGTCCCATTGAAAGCTATCGAATATTTTTGGAATCGGTCAACTGGTTCCGGAGATATGGCCGGCACAAGTTCCAGGGTATGTGGAACATGGACCTAATTTTAACATGGAAGGAATAAAACCTATCATGCGACACTTCACATTACTTCCAAATTCGATAACAAGATCAATAACAAAATTGAGTGCCTTGGACCACAATGGCCACTTCCGGGCAAGTTCTTAAAATGACAGAATATCAGAACTTAATTCCGGTTTTATAGTTTTTTTTTTACCTAAGAGTTTTTTTTTCGGAAATAAGTTTCAGTTAAGAATTTTTAGTTTGTTAACATTTTATTTCAAGTTAATTCACACACAGAAGGTGTATGAGAAGTGCTTAATGTAAATTCATATTAACAGATTCTTTCGGCACTTTCGTGGTAGTTCGGAAATCGGTGGTTACCCTTTCAGCCAACCTGACGATGGAATTCCTCCTTTAAATTTACGCCCAACTAGTGACGCAAGGTCTTTAGCAGCTTCCAAGATCTTTTTGGTCGTCTTGAGACTGCCAGAAGCAGCGCACATACAAACCCAATCCCCTAGCTGGTTCTCAAAATCAACACTCAACACTATTTCCCTTCCATATTTCTTGCCGTGGCTTCCCTTAATTTTTGCGTGAAGTGTCGTTTTTGGAATATTGTACCTTTTCTGTGCCTGATACGCAATAAGTGATTTATTATTGATTAGCCTCTTGATGATTTTCGATCATATAACTCTTTTCTTTAGCATTTTTTTTTCAATCGAAGAAACTGATCACTCGGCCAAAACGAAATCGAATTTCAAATCAGCTGCGCATGAAGGATGTAGACAAACTGAAGCGCACCTAGCGGCCGTCTTAGGAAACACATAGGTCCAACCATCATCATGCGTAGGTTCAACCATAATCATATTTATCTATTCGAATTTCGTCAATTATTCAAACATTTTAGTGAAACCAATGGATAAATTGCGTACTAACGTGTTGTTTACACCTTAAAGCAGTATTTTACTGCAAGAAAATAAAAATAAATGTAAAAAATATTCACTTTTTGTATGTTTGAAAGTAAGGCATGATGACGAGCTAATGCGTGGAAAGTGAAATGTTTTGAAAACACATTGAAACTCAATTGATTTGAAGTTTTTTTTTCAATAAAACACCCATGCAAATGGAAGAAAATGAGTTTTTTTATGATAGTAAAGTGATCTTTAAAAATAAAAAATTAGCGAAGATTGACTAAACTAGCGATTGAAAAAATAGGTCCAACCATCATCAGTTTTTGGATAGGTCCAACCAGAATCAATTAATCATATTGTCGAGCAGTTTTGGGACGACCTTCTACCAGCGATTTTACGGAAATGAAACAATCCATTCCAGGATTTTCAAGCATTTTACAAATAAGACCCTATTTTCAAAGACTCATTTCAGCTAAAACAATGTTTTTCTAAATTATGAAATAATTAGATGCCATGATCAAATTTTGAATTGGTAGGATACAAGAAGAGGTTGCAAAGAATGTGTTTGACATATTAAACCTGTTTATTTCACTTCATGAGAGTCACAATCAGCGATTTTTCACAAGCTCACTCACTCACTCACTCACTCACTCAGCGATCAGCAAATCGCTGATTGTGACTCATAGAAAGCAAAATTTACAGGTTTTATGTTTCCAACGCATACTTTGTAGCCTCTTCTTGTAAGTTACAAGTAAAACATGCCATCATACCATCTTTTGGTTTTATTATTCCGAAAAACATTATTTTAGCTGAAATGAGTCTTTGCAACCTTGCCCTAAACGTCTTCGATCATTTATTAATCGGCTCGAATCTCCACAGCTCCAATGATTCTCGGATGATCTGCAACATGTTTTCTTAGAGTCGTGTTGATTAACTCTAATGTCGACATCAAAGCAGCCGAACATTCTTGATCGGGATTCAGTCCGAGAATAATACCAGTTGGAGCATGCCACCATAAATGAAATGAAATTTTCATTAGTTCTTGCAATAATTTGTCACCACATTCGATTTTACTGCCCACTGCCTCCCAAATTTGCATGCAACGTTGCATAGCATATTGAACGGAAAGTTTTCCACGGTTACGAAAGAAATCTCTTGTGGTCGCTCTCTCCTCTCCATATTTCACTCTGTTGCGTCGTATGTGCAGCGATGCCATGTATTCTGATTTTTGAACACGAAAAAAATTGGGACCCCCTTGTTAATTTTGATACCGTAAGATACTATACCGGGTAACCCGCATAAATGCGAACCATTACTTGACCTTACCAAAAATGGTTAAAAATTGTCTATAATCCCTGCTAAACTTTTACTGAAATGGTTATGGAACTTTACATGAACGTTTGTGTGATAAAGTTTTAACCTTATGTATTATATCAGGCATAACATTTGATAACGGCACAAAAGCATTTGTAAACAAACTTTCTAAGGCCCTTTACACGCGAATCAAAGTACGCCCACGCAAACCAACAACATTATCGGATAGGGGCAACTATCATCGTTCCGAAAGTGGTATTGGTTTGCATGGGCGTACTTTGGTTCCCTTTTAAAGGGCTTTAGAAAGTTTGTTTACAAATGCTTTTGTGCCGTTATCAAATGTTATGCCTGATATGTTTTTCGGCTGTCCTTCACCCAATTACGTTTTTGTATATGATAAGCGTCAATCATAAACTAGTTATCTACCGAAAATGAGCTCAATTGGACGGCCGAGAAATAGTGGTATGGAGGGGTTACTGTATGCAATGATTATTGTGTGAACTTGTGGAAAATATGGCAACACTGGAAGAGAGCTAGCAAGAGAGAAGAGAGCAAAAGAAACCTCCCGCAGAGCGAAACGTCACCTTGCTAGCAGTCCAATCCAAAACGTAAACAATAATAACGGTGTGTTGATCTCATGTGGTGTTTGATTTCAAAATTCAATCTTATCAATTTGTACGTTAGGTGAACACTATTTATTTGAGTAATGTTTGTGACCAGTAAAAATGTAATTCTACGAACAAGAATCTGGAGTTGTGTCCGCAGTTCATCGTTGGTTGCATCGGGTAAGTTGACTCAACATTCGGTATCTACGGGAAGGGAGAGCTCTTCTTCTTAATTTCTCTCGGTCTCTGTTTCGCATTCAAGTGCCTATTCGATTGTCCTTCTTTGGCGGCAATTGAATGCCCGTGAGGTAACTTCCACACGTGGAAGATATCGCAGCCATCACGGGCCGGAATCAACGGCTTTACTTCCTTTCCGAAAGAAGACGTGATGACCAGAGATTTTTTCGCCTCATACCTCGGCTGCGATTGAACCCAACACACTGGGGTGAGAAAGCAGATCGCTTACTTTTCAATACATCACCGGGGCCATCAATTGTATTCAGCCTGAAGCAAATGTATCTTAAGATGCACAACTTAATTATTGCGCAAGAATGATTTGCATCCCAAATTGAAATGCATGTGGTGCATGTGGTATGTATAGGTTTAACCCTTTATCGCAAATCATTGAAAATGACGTTGCATATATTTCAATCGTACATCATTTACTGATCTGAGCTGGCGCACGAGGTGGAAAACGTAGCCATCACTATCAGTACTGGTACGAAAATTGACTTACAAAACATACAGCCCTCATAGGACGATAATATACGAATAGGATATACTTATGTACTAGTCATGACTATACATACGGTCATATTTTGGTATAACTCGTGTCGTAATACAACAGCAATCAAACTTCACGTTTTCTGTATTGTAGGTTTGCTAATGGAAGTTCAAATCTGTTTTTACTTTTTTCCAATAAAATAAGATAAATCGAAACAAATTTTTTTTTCTTCAATTGATAATTGATTCAATTCGTTTCGTGAAATACATGCTTTCCTGTTGTAGGCAACACGACTCCAGCGGGAATTACTTTCCATAGTTTCTGGATATTTTTTCATGCATTACCAGTCATCTCTGATCCCTAAAGAATATTATAGTGATAGAGAACAGAGGAGACAAAAATCTCATATTGCCAAAAACAGGAAGGCACTGCATTTAAAGAGAAGGAAATGCTCTCAATAGCCTCCGATCGATACAACTGATCACAGTTGTAGTCGAAATTGTTTTTATTTTCTAACGATAATAGTCATAACTTATAATAACAATGGTAATTTTAATAGAAATTGGACAAACAAAATGACACAACTTCTATCTACATATATGAATAACTTAGAACTAAAATAATCGTTAAATCTATAACTTAATCATTCACTGCTTTTAATGAAACTGCATGAAAACATTTGCAAAAAAATAGATACCTACATATTAAATTGAAATTCGTAACAGTTTCGAACGAAATTCAAGAACTTCTAATGATAAACATACAAAATTTCTAACAAAATTGATAACATTTGTACATGCATTTGGCCTAACTTAGATCAAAATCGGTCACAACTTTCAAACTACATTTTTCATCAAATTTGATCAATTAAATGGTCACAATTGGCAAGCGAAGAGTTCAAGAGAAAAATTTCACAGCTTCTAAACGCCTTAATCTCAACTTTTCACCATTTTAATTGGAAATGAACACAGCTTTTATAAGCAGCTGTCACAATTTCCAAATTGTTGTGCCTCAATTGTTAATGAGATTAGTTTAAAAAGAAATCCAAATTTATTCATGCTTTCTTTCGAAAGGCCTCGAAGGCAGCATGAAAAAAAAAAAAAAAAGCGGATTTATTTATCTAGAGCAGTTTTTTTTTGCGGAGATGAACCAGTTCCGGGCTGAAACTCTCCCAAATAAAGAAATCCAATCCAAATTCAGAGCAATTTTAGTAAACAAAATTGTTTTCATTTTGACGTAGGACTACGTCTGTGATTTCTATACGGGGGTGCACATTGTGAAAACCGAAAATGGAACATGTAACAAAATTATGAAAGATTTTGAACGTTAATATCTCAGCTGCCCCTGGACCAATTTCAATAATTTTATCACCAATCGTCATTTTTCAAAATCTTACTATTGAAAATTGCACGAATGTACAACTGTTGCTATGTTAATTAAAATTATCACCGATTGCCTGCGAAAAGCGACTTCCCTAACACAGATTTCAAAGTTGAATTCTATCCGGTCTCACCAAACGGTGTTTATTCAATCACCGCTTGGTGAGTGGCGGTGTTCGCCAGTACACAACGAAAGGCTCCCCGCAAGCAGCTTGCTATCAAGGCTGGCCTCAACCGCTAATTGGATTCAGTTCCAATCATCGTGTGTGGTGGTGTCCGGTTATCGGCATCATCATCAGCAGCAGCAGCAGTGCTTTCGGCGCGTGACGTTGAGCATGGTTCTCCAGTGTACAACGAAAGGCTGCCTGCAAGCAGCGAGCTGCAGCCCACATGAGCATCCATAGAAGGAGAAAGAAGCCGCACCGCTATTGATCGGAATCAGTAGCTCTTCGTGAGTCGTTGTGTGCCATCTATGCCAACGCGTCATACTAAAGAGTATAAACAGAGAAAACCATTGCGTACAATACCATAGGGCTGTCTCTTGTAGTATTTTTTCAATTTTCTCACGATTTTCTTACTTGGTCAGATGAAACTAGAACTCACACGAGCCAATACTGATCAAATTTTCTGAAAAAAAAACTATTCTTAAAGAATTTTCTAATTAAAATTAACAGCATTTTTTCAGCAAAACTGTTGTTTCCTGAAAATTATAAAAAAAAATCAACATAACTTCATAGAATGATTTTTTAACCAATTTATTCCAGATGCTCATGTAAATGTTTAATGAATAGTGTATCTTTCCAACCATTGGCACATAATTTGTTAAGCAATTCGATCGCAGCTCTTCAAATTTACCCTGTCAAAAAACGGGATTCGCCAGTAGAGGGTTTATTTTCTAGATACAAAAACCAACCAATAACCAACTTCATTATTTCCGGAGTTCTTTAATTTCCGTTTGTTCACGACACGATTATTTAAACATTTTTAAGATAGTTTTGTTAAGTACTAATGTAACATATTATTTCTTCTTAACGTATATGGTCTTCTCACACATAACACAACTTTACAAAGTGTACTTTACTAAGTACACTCAACTCACTGATTACTAAACTGAACTTGACTGCCTTGAACTAAACTGAACTGAACTATTTATATTCTTAAACTCTACACATAATTATTAACTCTACAAGATATCTAGAACAGTGTATCCATGAGATATATAAGGTCAACCAATCAGTGCGAAGCACATAGGTTGAGCCATCTGCTATATTTGCATAAATGTCTAGGATAAAGTCCCATCAGAAGAAGGTCAGTGGAAAGGGAAAATACTTGCTGTGTGGGCATGTCCCACTAACAGTTTAATACTCTGTGAAAATAATTGGGTCAAGCAGTTGCGAAGTGACATTGCGCAATGCTTGTAATCTGATATCTGTGTTTTGATGATGTTGCGTTAAGCGCCTGGATAAAAGTGTCGAATTGCAATGTTGCGCCACTTGAAGAGTGCAACGTACTTCAAGTGTTATCCATTGTTTGTCGTTGAAAGACCTCTTCTGTTAATTTGTAATTCCTATTACAACATTTCCAATATAAATTTGGCCACAATTTTTAATAAAATTAACCAAAATAGTTAATGAAATTTACCACTGCTTCTATCGAAATTATTCACAACTGATATCACATCCAAACGTCTAGTCTGGTTTATGTGTTGAGTATTGAGTCATTGAACCAAATGGCATTATGCTTAACGCAATTAGGCCAAAAAAGGCTAAATTAACCACTGTATTCGAGCACTTAAAATGACGTTTACTACCACTCGAACTTTGAAATAAAACATTTTTTTGAGATTTTTTTCTTATAGAACCTCGAGAAAAGTAGCCAACATTTGTGCGTTTCATAAAAAAATATAAATTATTTGGTCCAGTTTTGTGAAATCGCTGGTAGAAAGTCACACCAAAACTGCTTGACAAAGTGGTCAATTGTACGGGTTACATTACTCCACGATGCCAATAATCTTTAAACATTGCTACCAAAATCATAAGGTCTACACACTTAAAACCAAAATCTGCCTGAACAGTTCAGTAAACTAAAAATATGCAGAAGTTTGGTTAAAAATAAGTAGTTTACCGAAATTTGGAATTTATTTCAGCGAAAGCTTTGTAAAAACAATCGTTTACCAAAATTCATCAAAAATAGTTACGAATCTAATTGAAAAAGTCTAAAACTGCCGAAATCCGAAAAAAATAACGAACTTTACGGCATTCTCACTACTTTGCCGAAATATTGTAAGTCAAAATAAAAACGACCATATTACATTTTACCAAATCACCGAGAATACGTAAAATGACTGTCAGAACGAAAATGACTATTCTGTTATAAGAGCGTTAGAAATGTGTGTCAAATTGCTGTTGCAGACTAAGAATGGAAGAATATTAATTATTGTAACAGCGACAAGGGGTACTCAATTCTGCACATCTCAATCTGTGCTTATCTGTGGCGACAGCCGAACGTGCATTGTGGCTGCAACCCTGCAGTGATGACTTTTGAGATTGTTTGTTTACAATTTTAAGCTCTCATGGATGGTTCATTGAAAAACGGAAATGAATGTTATTTTTTTCCTAAATTTGCTCCCTAATTTCAAAAGATGGTTAGGCTATTATCGATCATGTTGATAATGCTGATGATAATGGTGTTGTTGCTATTGAAATATATTTCTAAACAAGAAATAATTACATTAGAAGCTGTGTCTAAGATTTATCTTCTATAAATAATGTTTGCAAATAAACTAGGGCATTGCTTGACAAAAATAAATATTTTTTTCTGCGACTCTATCAGTGAAATGTAAGCACAAATGTTTGCTTGTCGATGAATATCATTCGATAAGGTTAGTTCTCCAATTGAAGCAATGGTGTAAAAGTTACCCAAAACCATGATGCCTCTAGGGTTTTTGTCTTCAAGGTATACACACTTATTCTAGCTCGGTAAAATCGCCAACAGCCGATTACCTCGGCATTTATTTTTGCTGATATATCTGCAAAATATCTGTTTGTTAGCTGATATCTCTGCAAAATGATATTTGT